TAAGAACTAAAAAATTTCTGTAAAAAATGTTGAAGTTCATAACCTGTCTCTTAATTACTATATTGAGTCATTAAGAGACAGTTTCAAGATGAAAGTTCTCATATATATATATTTGAATTTTTTCGCGCGCAGTACGACTTTTTTTCTTGTCAATAAATAATAAAGGAAAGAGCACTTATGACCGACTTGTAAAATGCAAAGTGCAGATCAATCATGGCAATTTTAATATCTCTAGACAGTGTCTGCGCGTTTGTAGTCGGGGAGCACTTTGCCCATTCATCATACTGAGCGGTACACGGAGGGCGTGTGATTAGAATCAGTTTACCCTTTACTCACCCACGACGATGCGATATCCCCATAGTGGTCGCCATAACCATCCTCAGCAAGACTATCCCCCGGGTACCATCTGCCAAGGGCCCTTTCTTCTATCTCCCTGAACTCTTGCACCCCTCATTCTAACACTACATAGCTCATGACGACTTCATCTAAAAATTAATAACAAAACCACAATCACCAACGGTGCATGGAAAATCTAATCTAACTGATATCAGAGGTCCTAACTTATATTTACAATTTGATCCACGAAAATTAAAAATTAATTCATTTATATGAAATACATTATTTTTTAACTAATCAGGTACGACTTTTCTTCTAATTCTTATAAATATCAACAGTGTTTATAAATCTTTATTAAATTTACTAACATTATCCTTATTAAATTTCTTCTGTCAAAGAAGAAAGAAGTTTTGCTCTTTCTTCAGTCAAAGAAATAAGAGCTTTTTCTCTTTCTTCAGTGAAAGAAGAAAGAACTTTTGTTCTTTCTTCAGTTAAAGAAAAAGCAACTTTTGTTCTTTCTTCTGTCAAAGAAGAAAGAAGTTTTGCTCTTTCTTCAATCAAACAAATAAGAACTTTGGCTTTTTCTTCATTGATTATTGTTTTTAACTGTTGTTCTTTCTTCAGTCAAAGAAATAAGGACTTTTGTTCTTTCTTCATTGATTGTTGTTCTTTCTTCAGTTAAATAAATAAAAACTATTGTTCTTTCTTCAGTCATAGAAATAAGAACTTTTGTTCTTTCTTCATTGATTGTTGTTCTTTCTTCAGTTAAATAAATAAGAACTATTGTTCTTTCTTCAGTCATAGAAATAAGAACTTTGTTATTTCTTCATTGATTGTTATTCTTTTTTCAGTTAAATAAATAAGAACTATTCTTCTTTCTTCAGTAAAAGAAGAACGGAGTTTTGTTCTTTCTTCAGTGAAAGAATTAAAAATTTTTATTATTTCTTCATTGATTGTTGTTCTTTCTTCAGTTAAAGAATTAAGAACTTTTGTTCTTTCTTCAGTCAAAGAAATAAGAACTTTTCTTCTTTCTTCATTGATTGTTGTTCTTTCTTCAGTTAAATAAATAAGAACTATTCTTCTTTCTTCAGTAAAAGAAGAAAGGAGTTTTGTTCTTTCTTCAGAGAAACAAATAATAACTTTTGTTCTTTCTTCTTTGACTGTTGTTCTTTCTTCAGTTAAATAAATAAGAACTATTCTTCTTTCTTCAGTAAAAGAAGAAAGGAGTTTTGTTCTTTCTTCAGTTAAAGAAATAAGAACTTTTCTTCTTTCTTCAGTCAAAGGAGAAAGAACTTTTTTCTAAGATCCCTAATTATTTAAGGCTTACTATTAAATAAGTCACTCGTTTTTAATTTAAATTTCAACCTGTTAAACAAATGAATCTTAAATTCAGAAAACTTGAAAACGAGAAAAAGTCTCACAAACTTAATTAAAATTAGTAGTAAACAAGAATGATAACCATGCATTGTTTCTTCAACGATATTGATTGAAAGCAGCTTTTTTTCGGAAATTTTTGTTTAGTTCATGAAATTGGGTTTACAAAAGCCATTCCCGCAAACGATTCAATTTAGATTATAATCTCGATTGACACCAACCGCAATAAAAATACGCATTGCAATTCGACCGTGAATTATGATGCGTTGCTTTAAAAACCACTTTTATATCTGATTCTAACATCGAATTTGCGCGAAAGATAACTTTTATCTAAAATTTACAATTTTCATTAAAAATCGCCTTGGGTTTTTTAATTATTCAGAGGTTTTTGATTTTTTTCCACAGGAAACGAAATAATTTTCAATAATAAATTATAGCGTCTTATATATCTCTACGATACCATAATGTATATTATCGAAAATTATTTCGCAAAATAATAAAATTGCAATCATTCATAAGAGGAAGCACGCAATACAAAAATTGAAAAATGATATACAATGTCAAGTATAGTATACGATAAGAATAAGTATTATCAAAAAGGGTCAAGAGCATTTATATGCGTCAATATTCGAGATATTCCCTCACTTTTTTTTCACGGGGACACTTTTTGATCCATGATAAGATCAACGATGAAATCCCCAAGGGCTACTACTATGCGGTTGTGCTATACGCCTGGTGCAGGGGAAGATGATGATTCAAAGATATCGCTTGACATAAAACCCTTAAGGTTCAAATTTGCATGTTACAACTCTGCCACCCTACTTACCTACAACCCCCAACTGATATTCGCCACCCCCTCAAAGTCTTATCCGTGGCATTTTGAATGTAAGATTTCCTTACGGAACACCCTTCGGTCATTTTGAGGATTTTACGCCTAAGCCTTCTTGTTTATAGGTCTGCGATTCACGATTTTACAATCTTTTGTTGAGAAACTACTATCTAGACCCTAAAGTGTAATTCCGATTTTCTGATTATTCGAAAATTCGAATTTCATTAGATGTTACAACTAAATTCAAATAATAAATTTTCAAAGTTCAAATTTTCAAGTTCAAATAATCTTATGGTACAAAGATATATTGTTTGGGTGGTTATAATGACCATGTAGTCAAATTATCGAAAGGCAGTGATAGGCGTGTAAAATGAGTACAGTTCTAATTGAGAATTGGGCACATGACATGTAGGTGTATATAGGGAGGGGGGGGGGGGGGTTTGTACAAACGTGTCAAACAATAACTGTTTGCTTAAGGGCACCCCATTTATTTGTACAGGCTTTAGGAAAGCACGAGGTGGATCCTCCGGACAAAGTTGGAGACTGAAGGCGAAGCAGTTGTGCGGAGGTAGAGAGATGAATGTTGTCGACTCTTCATGATGCTATAGGTAGAGTGCGGGCTCTGATATCAGAGGAGGACTTTAAATTAAAGGACGTCGCATCACTGGTTCTACCCAAACAAACTCGGCAGAGAACGTTATTTGCTTACACCTCGACAAATTGAACCCACCCCCTCGTCCTCCTCCTTCAGTCGTATCCATTTACATGTACATAGATAAGTACACATAGAATTCAACGTCTTTCGTATCAAAATTTCTTCTCTAAATCACATATCTACTTGGTACTTACTAAACGCTTTTAATTTCCACTCAGGAGGAACAGAGTTTTATCTTATACTCGAAGTTTAACTATTGCGACAAATTCTATTTTTTCCTATTGAAAATATCTTCCGCTATATAAATCCAAATCATTTTGATCCAATTAAATACTAAATAAATAACAATTCTTTACCTACTTTAACAATTTAAGAATTTTACAATTCTTATACTTAAATAACTTCTTATACTTAGAATTTTAAATAAAATTAGCAATATTAAAAAAAATATTAGAATTTAAAAATTGAGGGTCCCATATCAAAGAACCGGTTATAAGTTTTTGAGACTTAAAATTCTCGACCTCTAAATAAAAAAAGGATTTAAAATTTCAGTTTTTTGAAAACATCTCGTATTTGTATAAAGATTACCAAAAAGTTTCTCAAAAAACTGGGATTGAAAACAGTTTAAATTTTGAGTTGCAGGGCAATGATTTTGAGCTTAAAAAAAATATAACCGGTTCTTTGATTGGGACCCTCAATTTTTAATTCAAATTTTCTTTTTTTCATAAAAATAAACAGAGTATCTAACAAGAATTGAGAAAATAATTCCCTGACTTTTCCATGACTTTTTCCATGACTTTTTACTAATTTTATTTCTGCTTTCTCAGGACAAAAATATAGTAACAGACATATTTAACAATAAATTAATATCTAATGATAGAAATAAACGATAATAAAAATCTTCTAATTTTTGTTAGATTAAAAAAATTTTTTATTAACAAAAATAACCAATAGACAACCTGTTAATAGTCTCCACTCTTTGGTAAAAAATTTAAATTTATTAAAAATTATCAAAAATTCAAAAAACCGAATTTCTTAAAATTCAACATTTTTTCTTCTCTTTTATGGCATTTAGCTTCAATATTTTTGGGCTCTTGAAAAACACTTTACTTATTTTATAATCTCCATCCTTTGGTAAAAAATTTTAATTTATTAAAAATTATCAAAAATAAAAAAAAAATTGTCGACTAAATTTCAATTACCTTTATAAATAACAAAATTCTTCTCCGAAATTCAATTATTTATAAAAATTTTAATAAAATTCTTGTCAATATTTTAATTATGATAAAAAATTTTTTAAACTTTCAATTTTCTTTAAAAGTATAATAAAATTTGTAGTTCTTTTAACGAACAATTCTGTAAAGTTAATTTTTTTGAAAAAGTTTAATTAAACTTTTCTTAATATTATTTGAATTTTTTATTTTCTAATACCTACATATTTAATTGAAGAATTTTCCAATAATCGAAATTTTTGGTAAAATTGAATTGTAAATAAATGTATTTGAAAATTCTCAAAGAACTGTTGCAAAAATTATGAAAAATAATTGATTTAAAGTAGAATTTTTGTAGACCAGAATGAATGGATGAATGAACGACAAAATTATCAGATTATTATAGTTAATAATTAATAATTAATTAGCAACCATTTTTGACAAAAAATGAAATATATTCTTTCTATTTATTGAACGAACATAAGTTTCTTAAATGACTAAAACTACCGTACAGTTCTTAAAGATTTTTATTTCCTTCCCCTCGAGTTCTCAACTGCAATGTTTATGTATCTTCAGCATCACCTGAAGCATCCTTAGCCGGTTGACAGATCAAGGACCGCACAGATGTTTTACACAAACTCTCAATTTAAGTACACATTAACCGTTAGGCATAAATTTTCCCTCTCCATTTTGAAGAAAAAGGTCAAGTATCTTTAAATCGATATGAATTAAATCCAAGTTTCAAAGAATTCGAAAAATTTGCACGCACTTATCTTATAATTAAAGATATCATTTGATTCTCTGAGATGATAAGTCCAATGATAATTGAATAATTAATAATAAATCGATTTTTCTTATCGTAAATTGTAAATTATTATAAACACAACAGATGATAATATAAGAATTTTAAAATCCATGAAAAGAATTTTCTTTTGCGGACTATTGATTTTGGTGTAAGTTTTCAAACAGTTTTATATACAACGACCGCACGAAATGATGAATGATTCGCGGAATCGCGGGGACAAAACTTTTATTTCCTGCGATATCTTTTCTCTCGATGCGGCAGTTATTTATTTCGGACGTGTATTATTGTTTATTATCTACCACTCGCTACATTTAACCTCCACATTATTTCCCACCCTCGCGTATAGAAGAATTGAAAAAGCCTCTTTTTTTTTCTTCGAATCCGCATTTATTTCTTTCCATTGCGTTCGAGTTCAGTTTGTATTTCTTCAAGTGATCGCCCACGAGTTTCGGGCATTGTAAAAAAAATACCAATCGAACCAAGAATACAAAATAATGCGAATATGGCAAAAGTCCCATCATGTCCAACCAAAATATTCACAGCATTGAATCCAATTCCAATGATAAAACCGCACAAATTTTCCATAATAATTCCCAAATTAACGGCAAATCCTTTGACATTAATGGGGAAGAGTTCTCCCGCAATTATGTAGGATATGGGCCCAATTCCCGAACAGTAGGAAAAGTAGTAGAGAATAATTCCTGACATCGTTATCCAAGAGAATGATGAAACATTAACGGTTGTTTCATCTTTAAGGTAAAAATAAAAACCAATGATTGTTAAAGCACCGGTGCAAATGATTCCAGTTGATAGAAAGAGAGTTCGTCTGTTCACTTTGTCAATAAAAGTGACCGCAATCACAGAGGCCAGTAACAAAAATCCATAGATTATCACAGCGCAAAATTTCGGATCCAACTCAAAACCGGAAGCACTCAAAATATTTTGGGTATAACCAGCCATTGCTGAATTACCCGACAGCATTTTCGTCCCTTTTGCCAAAAACAATATCAACAAACATTTCCAATTGCTCTTCGATGCAAACATATCAAAGAACGAATTACCCCTTTCCTTACTCTCCACTATCGCTATTTTCATACTTTGAATATAAAAATCAACAGATTGGATATTTTTCACTCCTCTCAATTTCATGAGAATTTTCCCAGCCTCCTCATCCCTTCCCTCCATCAGACAAAAATAGGGTGACTCCGGCATAAACGGAAAAGTAGATAAGAACATTAGTGGCATTAGAAGGCACATAAGGTTCATCGTCTGATAGGATACGAAAGCACCAAGACACCCGGCATAAAATATCCCCGTGAACGCCGCTACCTTCAGCATTGTTCCAAGTTTACCTCTAATCCTCTTTTCTGCAATTTCAGCTATGTAAACGGAGATAAAGTCAAACAGTGCACATTCGGCGAGTCCATGGCAAACTCTTCCCAAACAAATGATAATGTAGTCACGAGCAAATATAATCAAGATCCATCCAATTACTTGAAATAAACTAAAGAGTAGGTACAACTTTTTACGACCTAAACGATCTATCATGAATGGCACCACCAAACAACCGGCAATCACTCCAAGAAAAAATATCGAATATATCCAAGATGCTTGAAATTTTGTCACGGAAATTTCCGATTCAGAACTTTCGTAATAGACAAATGCTGACGAGGTCCAAACCACAAATGTTCCACCACCTGCTACAGCGAACGAAACTGAAAATAATTCACGAGACACTGTTTATTTGCGCGAACAGAAATTCTTTAATTTTTAATTACAATAAAAGATTTCGAAAAAAAAATTCTAATATTTCTTTAAAGAAAAGATTATCTTTTTAAAATTCTTTATATAGACATACCACAAATAGTGCAAATATACTGGAAAACGTTTGATTCTGGTTCTCTTCCTGCTTCTACACTTTTACTTTCAGAGTACATTTTCAAAACTGTTCGTCTTTAATTTCACAATCAAAATTTTTCAATCATTCTTGCATATTTTAATCGTTTTCGTCAATTTATCAGAATTCGGATACTACAAAGCCCCCCAGATAAGGATAAAAATATCCACATATCAGTGGTAATTAATTTCCCATTATCTGCGTGCAATACTAAAAAACTTTCGAATACAATTTTTTTTTATTATCCAGGCTTCACACTAGAGAAATAATTTTAAAAAAGCAAAAAAAAAAAAACATGAAAATAGCATCGATATTAAAAAGGAGATATTCATCCAAAAATTCTCGACCCTTAAAAATTCATTTTACCGATTTTAGAAAAAGATTATTTTCCTCACTTTTTTGCTGATTAAGAAAATTTTAACTTATTTTCTCACCTCGATAATAACATAATGATAATATTGAATTATAGAAAAATTATATTTAAAATTGTTTAAATATAATTTTTCTATAATTCAATATTATTTTCACAGTTTTTGATTAGAATTCTAATAAAATAAAAATATTTAAATATTTCAAAATAATTAATTATTTTGAAAGTAATTTTTAAAAATATAAAAACACAATTCTTTTAAATATAAAATTTATTTCAATTAAATTTGACAAAATTTCCATTTAATTGGATTGAAAAAATTGAATTTCTAACAAAAATTTCATTATTCATGAGAATAATTGAATTTTTTTTCGAAAAATTTTATTTTAAAAACTTTGAAAATAATTGAATTCTTATAAATAAGAATTTTATCAACAAATTTTTGAATAATTAAATTTTTTCCAACAATTGTAAGAAAATTTTCAAGAATAATTACAATTTTCGAGCATTTTTTTTTACATTTTTTTTTATTATTCATAAAAATAATTGAATTCATCCAACGAATATTATTAACATTTTTTCAAATAATTGAATTGCTGGAAATAATTTTATTATTTATATAAAAACAATTGAAATCAATTATTTTTTATCAAAAGCTTCATTCGGAAAATTTAATTAAAATTGTTTTAACAGGGTGGCCACTTTTTTTGTAAAAAAAAATTCACGGTCATTTCCCGGTCCATTCCCGGTCATAAATTATTTTTCCCGGTCATAAATAATAACTCTGAAAATAAATTATTCAATGAAAGATTGAAAGAATTTCCTGATTTTTAGACAAAACTTTGACTTTTTCCCAAACCCTAAAAATATTTTAGTTTACTCTAGAAATAATTTTGAACTTAAATAGATTTTTTGAAATAAATATTTAATTATTATCCATTATTTTTCATATAGTAGGTACTCAAATTTCAAAAAAAAATTCAAATTTCAAATCCTTTAAATTTGAATAATTTTTAAGAATTGCTACTGCAACTTATTAAAAATTATTTTCAAAATTTCAATTCAATTATATTCTAGAAATAACTAAAATATTTCTAAAATCCACTTGTTTACAAGACAATTTCATGAAATTTTGAATAATTTGAAAATTTTTCAATTAAATATTACATATTTAAAAACATAACTAATTTGAAAAAATGTGAATAAAAATATTTTTAAAGACTAAATTATTCAGAATTTTTAATTAAAATCTTTTAAAATTCAACTTTTCTAAAACTTCAATTTGAAATTTTTTAAAATTCAATCTATAATAATATTAGTAATATTAATTTAACATTCTAAAAAATCGAAAAATTTGCTTATGAATAATTGTAAAAAAACTAATTGATATTAATGAAAAATACGGTTTTTTAAAATTTATTTTCTAAGAAAAGAAATTTTATTTATTTTTATTTACTTTATTTATTATTCAAAAATTCATTTTTATAAATTTCGTATCACTTTTGTTCTAATTAGTTCAAATTTTTAATAATTCTTATTTGTTTTCTTATAATATTAATTGCAAAAAAATTTTTAAATTGATTTATTTTTCATTATTTTATAGGATGTGAAATTTTTTCTCTTTGAAATTTTTTTGACAAATTTAATTAAAATTATATTTTGTTTAATTATTGTTAGAAATAGAAAGAATTTAAAATTAAATTTAATATTTTCTTTTTCTAAGTCTGCCCAGTAAACGAAAACTAATTGAAATGAATTAAAAAGAATTCACAAAGAGCTTTCGTGAATCCCGCTTTGTGACAAATACGAATTGGAGCCATGATGCAATTTTCCTGAATTCGTGAAACTGTATTGAACTTCCGAACCTTCTATCCGTACCAATTCACTGGACAAGTTTTGAGCCTTTAATTTTTTTCAATTCGTTAGCACGAATTCAATGCATTCCTTGGCCATTTCTTTCGAATGCGAATTCGTTTGGACAAATTGGTACATATTGAATTAAATTCAATTGAATATACAAAGAGCTTGAGTGAATCCCGCTTTGTGACAAATACGAATTGGAGCCTACCAAAAATGTTAATTCGTTTCAATTCATTTGAATTAGTTTTTTTTTACTGGGTGTTATGTTGGACAACAAAATTCATAATTTTCTTATAATTTCTAGAAATTGAATATTTTTATAGTACTTTTTATAAAATTCTCTGACAAAATATAAATAGATTTTATAGAAGATCATTCAATCTTTTTTAATGAAATATAGTTAATACCTAAGTCTTAAAATAAATATTTCTATTTTTTCTCACAAAGTAATGTGTGTTTTTAAAAAAAAAATTCCAAAATCCCGGTCAAGATCAAAATTCACTGTCATTTCCCGGTTTTTCCCTGTCCAAAAAAATTCACTGTCATTTCCCGGTTTTCCCGGTCCAGCGGCCACCCTGTTTAAATAATTAATTTCTTTAAAAATTTTTTATGAAAATTGTTTTTCAAATAATTAAATTTTTTGTAAAAATTTTATTATTTATAAAAATTGTTGAATTTTTCGAAAAATTTTATTAAAAACTTTAAAAATAATTTACTATTTTTGTGAAATTTCATTAAAATAGTAGATATTGAAAATAATTGAATTCTTATGGAAAATATTCGTAAAATTTATGAAAATAAATTAATTATTATTCTTCTGGTACAATGAAATAAAATGAAAATGAAAATAAAAAAGTTACCAAGAAAGTTATTCAAAATAAAACAATAATTATACTGTACCGAGTGATAATGTCAGAAAATCACATTAATAATAATTAGATAACGTGGGAAAAATCTGATTGTAAACAAAACAAAAAAGACAAAATTTTTTTCATGGATTTAAAGGTATCTTTCATCGGGATAATCATACAGTGTGCTAAATACAATAGAATCTACGCATGTAGAGTAATAATGAAAGAGTGATTAGAGTGCCGAACAATATTGGAAAGGCAGGTGAAAAATCACAGCTGTCTCAAGTCGAAAAAATTTATTCACACGTCCATCAAAATTTAAGCTCGAATGATTTTAAAAATCCGATATTATATTTTACACGCCCACCTGTATGCAACTTCATGCTTCATGCACTATTTTACTCTTCTCGTAATTGTGCGGTCAAAAATTCGTTAATCACCTCTGGTGACTTTTTAGAAATCAAAAAAAAAAAAAAAAAAAATAGGGTGCCTTTCAAAGTCACCCTCTTTGAAATTACCAGATTTTTCGAACCATAAATCAAATGAGGGCAGTCGACATTAATTGATACACGCAGACAATTATATAATTTTTTGGTATTTTTAAATAATTTTCCCAACATAACTTGAAATTTATTCTCAATTAAACATAATGTTAAATAATGTTAAAATATAATATTCTACGAATTCTTTAATTAATAATTATATAATATTCTCCAAATTCTTTAATTAAGATACAATAAAAGTTTTTATTCGAGAATGTGAATAACGAGCAAATGTGAAAGAATTGAGCGGCCTTAGCAATAGAGAGCCTGGAAATTCCCAATGTGACAATTGTTAGAACGAGTGTAGGTGAAATAAAAAAAAAAATAAATAAAAAAATTCTACGAGAGCCAGCCAACAGGAATTGGAGTTTGGGGATTTTGTGACGCGAATAGGACGAATCGACACAGGGTGTTTTAAAACGAGTGCTATCGGTAATCGAAATCGCTCGGGGGTTGCTTCAGGGAGACACTGATTCCAAACTCGAGGGTGACCAGCCGCGAAACCTCCTCCCCCACGTTCCGATCCTTGTCTACCCTCTCGAAACCTGCTGCGGGTGCTTTGCTCCGTCGACAGCAAATCGAGATTATCGACGACCCCTTGGCGATCTGGCAGCTCGTAAATACCTGCTCATCGCTTCCACAATGCTTCCAATTTTTTTTTTTTTTTTTTTTTTTTTTTTTATTTCAACCTGACATATTTCTCGATATTCTCCCTTTTTGCACTCTCTTACTCTCTACGAAAAAATTTTGAAAGTTTATTCGTATTTAAAGAATTTAGAAATGTGTCTAGGAATAAGACGGGTTTTGTTTTTGACCCATAAATTTTAAATGGTTAATTAAATGGTTAACTGGACACACTCCCCTACATACATTTCTAAATTCTTCAAATACGAATAAAACATTATAAATTATTTCTTTTAGTACTTTTTAAAGAAATTAATAAAAGAAATAATGTTCTATACTCAGAGCGGTCACTTTAGATAACTACACTTTTAAAAAGATATAAAAAAAAGAATAACAAAAGTGAAGATAAAGCGAATGTAGTTTGCGACCTCGAGTAGAGTATGAATGGGGAGCCATGACGTGGTCATACTTGCGGTGTCTCGGGGGGTCGATCGCTCATCTCGAAATAGCGTTCTGGACCGTATACGAAGCCAACCCTCTTCATAATCTTTGCTATTCTCCATCGAACTATCTTACATCGATCATCGGATGGGTTCTATTAAATTTTTCATTGGCCACACCGTCAAGCACTGACATTATCAAATCGACCACGACTGATCATCCAATTTTTAAAATCAAATTCTCTATATGTATATATCGAATATATAAGAAATATTCTCCCCTTTCTTTATAAGTATCTGGAGAATATTAATTTATCTCATTTTTTTTTGTCATATTAAAATTATATTCATAT